GAGAGATGAGTCTGTGGAACAAGACAGGGCGATGCTAGGAGCGGAGAAAGGGGGGGCCTGGGCTCAGCTCTCTGCCTGAGGATGGGAAGAGGAGGGAGGGAAAGGACTTTTCACCCCGGCAACTGGGTCAGGGAAGGAAACAAACAGCTCAGAAAAACACCCGGGCATTGCACACAACCGGAGACGGCTCCTTTTGCCCAGCGCGATGCCACGAGTCGGGCCGTGGCCTTCGAAGGGTTAACGCAGGCAGGGCGCTGAAAGCATGTGGGTTGCCTGCGAGTGTGTGGTGGTGGATGTGATGATCTGAGATTCTTCTCTCTCTCTCTCTTCTCGTTCTCTCTCCGTCTCTCTCCCCTTGCCTGCCTTCCCGGTCCATCCACCAGGGAGCTTGGCGCCGGGAACTGGGACACCGACAGCTGCCGGACGGTGGAAACCCTCTCCGCCCACACCAAGTGCCTGTGCAGCCAGCTCTCCACCTTTGCTGTGGTTGCCCAGCTGCCCAAAGACTTGGTAAGTGTCCCGGCTGGGGGGCAGGTGGGCAGGGAGAGCAGGGTGGCATTTTGCTGCCCGCCAAAGTGGCCCAACCAGGAGGCAGGGTGGGGCAAGGCGACCGGATTGGAGATGCCCGGAAGGATGGCTGAAGAGAGGAACAGGGCAAGGTTTAGGGTTAAGGTGCCAACGGTCAAGTGGGGACATTACCTGGGGGAGCCCATGGCTTGAGAAGGGCATGGCCATCTCCGGAACACGGGGCTCACCTGGGGCATGCACGGGAGGACTTCCTGCAGAGGGTGCCTCATCCCACTTAGCAGGGAAGGCTGGGAGGTCGCTGGGGTTTTCCGCATCAGGTATCCAGATAGAGCCTCTGCTCCCCTTTGAGAATCCGTAAGCAAGAGCGAGGAGAGATGTGATGGACTGAGAGAGAGAGGGGGGCAAGTTTCCTTGTCAAGGTCTGTGCTTCTTATGGGGTCTGAAACCTGGCCCCAAAGGTCTCCTAGTTCTATGAAAATGTTGGGAGATTAGTTCTTTGCAGTATATCCAAGTTCCCTGTCGTGTATGTATCCCTGTTGTTTTTTTATAATAATAACTGCATGCCATTAAGTCAATTCTAACTTAAAGAAACCCGTTATAGTTTTTTCTGGGCATGGTGTTCTCAGAAGTGGTTTAACCCTTCCCTTCTTTCGGGGGTTGCCATACAGCTGGCCCAAGGCCGCCCAGGCTGGCTCTGAGGGTTGCCTTGGGGCCGTGCGTCTGGCCCAAGGCCACCCAGGTTGGCTCTTCTCCCAGGAGGCCCAGTGGGGGAATCGAACTGCCAACCTCCGGCTCTGCAGCCCGAGATCTAAACCCCTGGACTATCTTTTTTATACATTTGCACAAATCTTGGAATCCCTCCTTATATTGCTTTCCCGTTTGCTCTTGAAAGCTGGGTCTGGGTTTAAAAGTGGGAGCTGTGAAGCACGAGGCCCTGGGTTCAAGTCTCACCTCAGCGCCATCGCCTCTGGGCCTCAGTTTCCCGGTACGTAAATTGAGGACAATAAATTCCAATATCCCATCCCCTGCTGTTAAGGATTGTTGCGATTATATTGGATGGAGGTCTAAAAATTCATGTATAAATACTAAGGATCTGATGGTGTTGTGAAGCATTAAGCAGCGGTAGTCTTTTTATTGGCATCCTTAGAATGGCAAAAGTAAAGTCAATCTACTATATGCCGTGGCTGGAATCTCTTTAACTTCTGTCTTCTCGTAAATCACTTCCATCCTGCGCCTACTTTAATTTTCCTTCATATAGATGTACACAACAACTTGCATCGACTACGCACAGTTAATGCTTTTCCTCACACAAACGGGCACGAGTATTTTAATGCACATCTTCTGTCAAAAATGTGCATTTTTAACCACCTTTTTGAAGCCCAGAAGTGTGTCAGGCCATCAGGGAATTGGAGCTAACGAAGGTTGAGGCTAACTAAGTGCTTGTCGGAATCAGATTCTTGAGACCTACTTCATTTCTTCCTCTTTCCAGGGCAGTGTGTGGTCCAGAGAGAGAGAGAGAGACATCCAGGGAGGGTGTGTTTTTTTGGGGTGGGTGGGGGAAGTGGTGCCTCCACCACGGAAAGCCTCAGCTGCCCATGGGCTCTTTTCAGCCATACTTACCATAGCTAAACACTCACACACTTAGAACATCCTACATCAACAGCTCTTAATTTTCTCCCTTTCTGTTTCCATGCAGACATGTCTCTTTTTAGCTTGTTTGTCCTTGCTTGGCTCATGTATAGATTGACATGTTCGCAACAGAGTGACCACCGGAGAAGAAGGCAGGGCTCCTTTTTAAAAAAGAGTAGCATGGAGGAGATGTTCTTATGAGATGTATCTTTGTCACATCAGGTGTAAGGCACCTCGGGAGGTGGATTAGAAGCCTGCAAGCTCTATTGGCTGAAATTTTCTCTTCCACCCAACTTTTCCACTGTCCTTGCACACCTTGTCCACCTAGGCAAGGATATGGAGTGGCCATCTCCTTCCGAGACAAGGAGAGGAAGACATTTCCTGGCACACCTAAGAGAGGTCTGACATTGGAGAGAAAGGGGTTTTGTGTATTGGGGGGGGGAAGGGAGCCGATTTTGAGAAAAAAAATCTGGACTTTTGTGTAATTCGACAAATTGCCCGGAATTGGGAAAGTGCTGCTCTGTTTTCAGAATCTGAAGCACGAGATGGGGTGTTTGCATATTTCTTGGCAAACAAGCCAAGCTTCCTGTGCTTGCGTTACTTCTCCAAAAGGACAAGACGTGAGAGATGTTTGAGACAAATGACGGAGCCCTCAAGGGGGACCAACCAGCTCTTCCCCTCGCTCTTTAACAAAGCCCGCATCCTGATGAGACAGGATCTCGTCCTGTTGATGCGAACGAGGAACTTAGTAAGAGGGTAGCCCATCTCTAGCATGTGCACAAACCCTCTGCGTGCACCATGACGTTCACCTTAACCCTGGAACGAACGTCAACCATCTAAACCCAGCGCGCACATACTAGCACTCCAGAAGCTAGTAAAAACTCTGCTATTTAGAGATGCCTTTTGGGATATTCTTCCCTCATGATAGCTTTTTTTATGCCTGTGCCACATCTGTGATTTTGTCTTAGGCTGCCAGAGGTTCTTTTTGATTTTTTGGGGTTTTTTTGTTTTTAGATTATCTATTGATGGGTGGGCAGACTGGATATTTTATGCTTTACATTTATGTTTGTAAGTTTTCCCAGAGTAATGGCACATCCCTAGATGAGTGTCATTAAAAAATTAAGAAACAAACAAACCTTCAAGGTAGGCAAAACAACCCATCAGCCTCTTCTAGTAATGAACTTCCATAAAGGGTGCTGATTATGGACAAAGAAAGGAGAGGCATAAATATGGAGACAAAAGTATTATTGTGATACGCTTTATTTCAGAGCTGTCTTTAGTTCTTTGGCTGGATTTTCCCCTGTATGTAACGACATCTGTAAGTTTTTTAAAAATAGGGAATCCATTTGGCCTTTGTTTGCAAGGCGATATGCGATGGAAGAAAGCCATCCGAGATTCTTCACAATCCCTGGCTGTTCCCTTTTACCCAAATCGCCTCAGGTTGCTATCTTTTTCTCCACAGCCCCCCTCTTTCCTGCATCTGTTGCCCCACAAATCTGAGTTTTCAAGGGGCATTGCAGAATATCTCCTAATGCAACTCTGCAGAAGTGAAAGAGAAGGAATAACGAAAGAGGAGCTAGCAGAAGTGTTTCTGTGCATGTTCCAACTGCAGACAAACTTTCTTTCCCCGGGCGGGTTACTGGAGTTGGCTCTTTTCGCATCCTTGAGCTTCAGCAGTTGAGGATATCACACCCAGCGAGACTTGATCCCCCTCTCTCTGTTCCCATTTTAGCTCTTTGAAGACCGGGCTGTTTTGTCCCCTCACCTCCCACACTCA